ACCACTACCAACACCACCATCACCACCTCATCTTATGTTTGCACAGGGAATACGACAAAGCTGTTTTGGTTTATGCTCATTCAAGCTCCGCTACTGGGTTTACGATTCTGAGTTTGGGATGATGGTTCTGGGGCAGGTAGGACTTTGCGTTTAGCCTTGGTGTAGGATTGGAGAGGGCCCCTTGCAGTTTCTCATATGAGGACAACTACAGCGGAAAGAGTAACTGTCGCGACGCTGGTTGCAGTGGTGTTGGTAGTACTTGTGTGCAAGAGGAGGCGGTAGTGTCTGCCCAATAACCTGATTGCACAAGTACTAGCAATCTACCCCAAACCCCAAATCCCAACAGGTATATTAAGCTTCTAGACCGAAAACATTATAGTCATAGGCAGCCTGTGATCAACGAAGATCCGGGCTTGGCCGGATGCATCGGTGCGGTGCGCGCAGCACCTCTGGATGCAGGAGGCTTTCGAGTTTTGGGAAACACGTAGGGCTTAAGGTTCAGGGCTTGGCGTTTTCAATCAAGCTTTTGACTCTCATCATTCCCTCACAAGGTTGTGAGGGCAAGGAACCATGACGGATGATGCCATGTTCACAGGGGATTCATGAAGGGTCCGGCAAGAGTTCAGAGGGGCTTTTGTTTTCTTATGTGGAAATTTGCACAAGCAACTCGATGGGGCTGCGTGCGGTGTCAATTCCAGTGCTCATTAGTCCGTCAGAGTTAACAGCTGAAACCATGAAAACAGACTGCAGGTTTTGATCTGGGGCGTCGTAGCAAGAATCCAACGGTTTCAGCCTATGTTTTCGTGACCCAATTTTGAGAGATAGCATGGTGAGCATCAGCTTTGTCCAAATGCGCTCGGATTTGGGTTTAAACATCACGGAGTAGATGGATTAATTATGGAGGCGGTGCATGTCCATTGCGCATTTTCGTGGAGTTCGGTACTATTATTTAGTCTTGGTACTTGGGGATACATCTTTTGGGAAGCATGTTGGGACATGATCTTCTCTAGTCTGCAGGCGTGGGAAAGTGTCGGGTGCATCTGCTCGGTTTATGCAAGACGGTTGGAGTTGTTTTGAAGGTTCCCTCTCAAGTCAACTGTCTGGGCCGTGTGCACTGGTATAAGAGAGCTGGAGCTGCAAACAGAAACTCATGGCTAGTGCTTCAGGGCCTCAAGCAGGATCCACACTGCCGGCATCGTAAAGGACTGTTTTCTTGATCGTCTTCCTGCCTGGTTCACAGAGATCCCCTAGGCCCTTGGCTTGCCGAGCCGTGAACATGTCCACGGTCTTATTGGGGCTCTCCTGGACACAATCATGTGCAGTAGAGAATGAAGTAGTGAAACCCCCGCAACCTTTTCTGGCCGTCAGCTCAGCTTGCGTAGAGGAGGCCAAAAGCGCTTAGTGCTTCCTAGCTTAAGCGGCACATAAGAATGTGTTTTGAAGCCTCCGCAGCTTGCATACAGAAAGGCCGCACCCAATAGGCCCCTTCCCTGCTGTATGAATTGAGGCAGAGACAACTGCTGAAGAACCAGGCGAAGGCTCATCATGGCTGCAGAGGGGCGCAATAGCGCCGCTGCGGGCGCATTAAGGTGGCTGAGCTTGCTACAAACACTCGCAATGTATGCTTCTCTGGGGTCAGGGCTTTGGCTCAGGACTGAATCCGTGGTATCTGCCACAGTGCCGCCAGCTATGTCACAAGCATCACGCTGTACTACCTGCTGGCAGACGTCTTGCATCGATACCTTTGCTTGAAGCCACTGAGAGAAGGCAAGCTTATGGGTCGCACGTCAGCATTTGACGTGCAACAAGGTGGAGTGACCTTCCTTTCTCAGACGTTAGGGGTACTTCTACGGAGCCTAGGGATACAGGGAGTATCCACAATGATAGAGCCCCCCCATTCCGCATGATGTAGGGTGGCTTGCAAGAAACACCCGTACGTCAAGGGAGGACTCTGGTGTGTCGTGGCATTACCTGGGTGGGAAGTAGCGTGTACCTCAATCCCACACCCCACGATACTACCGTAAACAAGTTCCCATCACTCAAATGTGATTTCAAGAATCAACACTGTTCTTTGGCCCGAGTATGGACAGTCTTATAGCTTCTGTGGTAAGTACATACCACTCCCGGCACCAGCCCACAAGAAGACCCTCAAATGACCTCTCTTCAGAATCCGATTGCAAGCTGCACCAAAACATGAGAGTTTCGCGAGATAATTCTTACAGCATCCCCACTTTTAGAAAATCCCACATGAAGAGCTAGCTAGGTCGGGGCCACAAGCCAGAGTCGTCAACCTCCAGCTTTACCCAAAGCCAAAGCCCACTACGAACCCCCTCCCAAAAGCTACGGCTAGCAGAATGAAGTACCAAAGAAGGCAATTGTAGTCGACTGCTTTCGCTAACTTCCCTTTCCGATCATTTTATGCCCGCGTGAACCACAGCTCCCAGTCATATTCTGTGAGTTCCTTTGAGGCATTGCGGTTTTGGGGTTGCAGGCTGGGGTTTGAGGGTAGAGGGTTGATATGTCAGTTAATTTGGGGTAAAATTTGCGGGCTGAGGGATGGCAGGGTTTCCAGCTTGTGGTTGACGTCTTTTTCCAGAGGCCTTGGGGCAGGCTTCCAGACGTTGGGACAATCTCCGCTTGTGCAGCCACAATATCCGAATCCTGCTGGGAAAAGGCGACCTCAACCTGGTCTTCTGGCTTCAGTTTGCAAGCAAATCTGCCCCCGCGAATTTCAAACAAGGCCCTGGGAGGCTGAAAAATAGGGTAGATCTCCTTGGAGTTCTCTTCGTCTATACTCAAGAGGCCTTGAGCAGCTTAATGCATGACAATGGTGAGCTCAGTGATGAAGATCCTGTCAGAAAGCTGGGTTTTGGAGGTATGGAAGAAATTTGTTGCACCTCTTTTGTAATGAACCTCACGCTCTTCGTGCATTTTTGAGCTTGGAGAAGGCATGTGGTGGTCTGGAAAAACAGCATGTCGGGCAACGGGGGATGTGCCAAGATCATGGTCCCTTTTTGGGGGGCCCCCTCCACTCTTTGGAAACAGGCCAAGCCAAGCCATATGCCGTTTAAGCCTGAGCCAACAGTCTTCTGAGCCGACACTACAAACTTGACAATACTCAAGCTTGGTGATGCCAGTTGGCCTTCCAGAAAACTTCAATGGTTGTAGGGATCCTTGGGGCAGGCTCCAAACTCCTAACCACGATGTTCCTCCCCGCATGGAAGCTTCACACCCCCGTGTGAATTGCTAAGCCTGGAACACAAGCAACCTACCTACCTACCTACCGACCTACCTGCCTACCTACCTTACAAACCAAAATCTCCGAAAGCGAAAGCCACACAACGGTCAGGGAGGAAGAACAACAACAAAATAAGATGAGTTTATAAAATAGCTACCCGCAGCCTAAACTGCGATCCACCCAAGCCGGAAAGCTTGCACAGCTTGCTGCCGGCCAGTAAGCCCTCGAAACCAGCTGAGTCTCGTAGGCCCAATGCAACAGCGTCTGCCGTATGACAGGAGCAACGGATGGGTCGTTGAAAGCCCGCCCAGAGCCATTTATGCGGGAACATAACCTGAGTTGGGTTTTGGGGCTTGGTTCTGAAGATTGAGGTTTGAAGGCGTGAAGCTGGAGGGTTCGGAGCTTAGCTGAGGTGTCCAGCCAAGTTTTTGAGCTTTGGGGACCAGGCCTCATGATCTGATGTAGGCTTCGTCCGCATGTATCTGACACTAATACCTACTGTGCTTTAAAAGAAAGCTAGATGCACGCATGACATCAGCTAGTTTGCGTAACTCACTCCCTGGCATGACCTTTAAATTCGATTTCGAGCTAAGAGTTTGCCGCGTGGTGGAAGTATCAGGAAGAAGCCGAGACAGAGCGATGTCATCAAGCCACGAGAAAGTTATGTGAGCGCTCATGTACCAAAACGGTTTCACGTCTCAGGGCTCAAAATGGCTCCTGAAAGGGAGCCCGGTAGCGCTCGGGGCCCATGTCGCAAGCCACTAGTTGACAGCTACCTCCGCCTACGCAAACATGGAACCTTAGAAAGGGCTTTGAAGGGCCCCAGACAAACAGGGCGGCCTAGACAATGATTCCATGTTTGGCGCTGTGGGTGAATTCCTTCCATGGAGCAGCCATCCTTTTCTCATGGGCAGGTAGGAGGAGACTGTAAGGACTTCAACCATTCTTACAAATATCTAATGCAATCGCTTCAAACTTTATGTAAACATGCATTATGGTAACTACTCAAATCTGCCCGGCAACTAGCACATGGCTCTGTCTCCGAAAAAATGTAACCCTCTCCTACAACGGCCAATATGATCCCCGTTCTTTATCCTGATTGTACCTTACATACTCCTAGCCCACTCCCTCTAGAACCCGCACATAATTCTCTGAAGGCGAAACTTTGTCGACAGCCCCGCAAGGAATTTACACAGACATGTGCAGGTTTCTTAAACTAGGGGTACCCTTAGGAAAGGTAGGGATCTAGACGGATCATAAGAAGATGACAAGAATCCCCGTTAAAACTGATAACAATAATGTCAGTGATGGTAACACTGACAACAATACTCGCACGCATACGAAAAGAAGAAAAACAACAAGCACATTAAGAACAGTAACCATCACAAAAAAAAAAATAATACCAATAGCAATAAGCATCAAACCCATAAAAACAACAATAACGATGACAATAGAAATAACATTCCTAAGGACTACGCAGGGATTCCGTGCAGGAACTCACACCTTCACTCTATTTCATCCTTGGCGTTCAGCTCCGGAACGTAGAAAACCTATGCAAAAAACCCTCCACCCAAGTACTATGTATTTTCCAAATGGTACGATATTGCCATAGTTGGAATATGCATAATATGTATACTGATATGCATATTTCTAGGGGACTTATTCTTCAGGAGGGGATTCACCAAGAAGTGGAGGAACTCGTCCGAGTATGTGGATTGTTGGGCTAATCTATTAATCTGGCACCTTGCATTTGGGGTATCGGTGCGCCATTTTGCCGGTGCCCATGCAAGATGACAAAAGATTAAGAGTTAGGATACGGGTATTGTGCTTCGTAGTACGGGGGTTGGGATCCCAAGTAGCTGAAGGTCAACAAGACGCTGATTCAAATCAGAAGTACAAAAGATTTGCCAAGTAAAGATGTCCACGCTGTACGATTTTAAGGAACTCTCCCACACTTAAAACAAAACTCCACAAAACCCTGACTTTCGCGAAGGCTTGGTGGCTGGTTCCGCCAACGTCCTGTGAAGCCTGCGCAGGCTTTCCTGGGGCACCAGTCACAGGATGTCACAGGTCACCACTGCTGCTTCTGGTGTAGAGCTTAGCGCGTGGAGTGTTTCGTGCTCTGGGTCTCCCCGGCATTGTGGGATCACCCCGCATCACAGCCCTCGAGATTTCTGAAGTAAGGGCCCTGGCCTGCATTTTCAAGCCAATTAAACCTGAAGGGAAATCGGAGTCATGTTGTAAGGCATCACTTCAAGACCCACAAAATTTGTGTTTGGGATGTGGACCTACGCCTGTCTGGGCTTAATTTTGGTTCGAGGCCACATAGCGTGCTGCGATTCTTGTTGCCACTTTTTGTTGCTGCTCATGTGCTTTATGCTATGCGGTGCCTTGGCATGGAGGAAGTCCGACAAACAGACTAGACAATGCAGCAAGATCTTGCCGACCCTGACAGCAAATCCATGCAGCCTGAACCCTAAAGCATTGCTCCTTAAACACCTGTGAATTCCTTTACCTACTCGCATTGATTCTCTCTGAAAACATGGACCGCTGGAAGAGAAAGACCCAGCTTCCAGCGTTGTACCTGGCGTTGGTCGTCAGAGCTGCGTCGGCCCTGCATGTGCTTTTCTGGTATAGACTTGAGGGTTTAGGACCTGAGGCAAAGGGGTTTGGGGCTTGAACTAGGACTGTGAACGGCGTGGGGGCGTGGGAAGGCCTACGGCTTAGGAGTGTTGTCTGACTTTGGGGGTATTCTTGGGGCTCAGAATCAAACATCATCGGCATGAGATGGCTTCGAGAATCAAGGCTAACTCTGCTTTCAACGCAATGCAATGCCCTGCTCACTGTTCTCCATTCCTTCCCCTACAAGAACTGACATCAGCTAGCCACCCATGCGAGGGAGCCGTGAAAAAGCGTTGAGCCAGGCCTAACATCACAGGCTCCGGGAAGGCTTGGTCAGGCGGGCTCTTGCTTGTGGGAGTTAGGATTTAGGATTTAAGGGTTGGAGTTAGTAGGGCTGTCACGGGAAACTGGGCTGGGTAGCACCGTGAAAATGACCGGCTGCAAAACCGCGCTAGCTTTGCGGTTGGCAGGCTGGTGTTCAGGTGGCTTGACGTGCACCGCATTTACATAAACAGGAAAGACAACAAGGACAACAAGAGTGGTAGTTTCAAGTCTTGGCATGCCCACACCTCGACTGCCAGGCTATGAAATGGAGGTGGTCGAAAACTTGAAAGCCGGTCCAAAAACCCCTGCTTTCGGAGTAGGGTAAGGCTGCATCAGAACTTCCTTGGTAAATATCTGACCCCCAGGGATCGACTGGGCATGTAGGACATCAATTGCCAGGCTAAGCCTCCAACTCAAAGCCCCAAACTACCGTAAACTACCCCCGGCCGCATGGCCTGCACTTGCACGCACCAATGAAACGCAAAGCTGCTTATGACTCGTGTCACTCCCAGAACCAAGTTTATGACCACAATCACACCGGAAAGGAAGGAACGACTATCTTGGAGCGTCCCGACAAGGATGGTTGGGGGATGCTAGGGGCATTTCTGAAAGAATCCATCGTGATTCAGGAGCAAGCTCACCTGGTAGAAACGGCAATACCATTGGAACCAGCCGCGCGGATCTTGCCTGAAAGATCTAATTTCTGAGTTTGGCATTCAGAGCTAAAAAAAGGGTAAGCCCAAGCCCTCACCAGTATGACAAGAGGCGACCCTCCGCTGCTTTGCTTGAGATTTCAAGTAATGCCAAGCAGTGTTTGGAATCTCGGGGCTTGTTGGCTGGTGCAAGGGGCTGAGGACTTACTAGGTACGTTCAGAACAAAATCGGAACCGTCCTGACGCATGCAATGAACAACCTCCACGCCAGGGTCCTTGAGTCAAGCCCAAAACTGAAACTTTCAGGAAACACTTCTGGTGCTCATCCCATCTGCTAGGATCGTTACGGGTCCGTTCCTTCGCTCGACAACCGATTGGCTGAGCTCTCTTTTCCAAAAAATATTCAGAACGTAAAATTCCAGAACAAAGCCCACTGAAATTCAGGCCCACCTAACTTAGAAAGTGGCAGAGTAAGCAAACACATCGGTGTGTTCGAAACCGCATCTGAAAATCCACAATCGGATCTCCCCTTGATGCTTCCTGACACCCTGCCAAATCCCCGCAACGAAGCACAAACATAGCAGCTCTGCACCACACCCAAAAGCTTGCAAAACTTAAAACAAGAGCACTTTGCCGAAACCCTGTATAAAGACGGTTCTGAAAAACCTGGCAAAATCCCAAGACCATCCCAGCTGCTGATGGATCCAACCTTTCGACTCCCATGCTGCCTCTGCAAAAGAGATAAGCTTCGCGATAACAAGGGTGATTTGGGATTTCTCAGAAAAGGGAACTGTTGGGACCCTACGTTCATGATAGTCGCTAGTATTGATGCTTAGGGTTTAGAGCTCCGGCGCAAGGTTCAAAGTTCAGCGCAGTGGTTTAAGATTTAACGTCCAAGCCTTGAGCTGGTGGTGATAATGCTAATCAGCAGCAGCAGTAGCCGCAGCAGCGGAAGCAGCAGAGGGAGCAGGAGCAACAGGAGCAGCAGGAGCAGCAGCAGCAGCAGGAGGAGCAGCAGCAGGAGCGGCAGCAGCAAGAGCAGTAGCAAGAGCGCTTCAGCAGGAGGGGTCGCCATGTTAGTTTTAGTTCCTGCTGCCGTCGGAATAGCTGACTTGTTTCGCACTTTTAGCGCTGATTCTACTTCTACTTTCTGCTTTGACTGCTTGGACAACTCCACTTCTACTACCTCTGCTATTTCTTCTCCTCCTCCTACTTCTACTACTTCTACCAGCTTTAATTTGTTAACGCCGAGTGCGCAATCTGTGCGGTGCGCGCATTTACGCTTGCTTTGAGCATGCTAGGTCTCTAAATATGGCCGCGTAGGGCACATGCTCTCACTCTACTCGACCAATGGCAGGCCGAGGGTTAGGAAAAACGCGCCATTACGGTCTTTATCCAATCTGCCCTTTTTCGACCCCCTTTTTTATGTGTAGACCTGATCATATCTTTGTAAGCTGATTCGAATACCACATTGCGGATGGGTTTTCTACAAACACTTCTAGCATTTTCCTCAACATTTTGAACTGGGTCCAACCTTTTGGATGGCGCGTGGGAATAGTTGGATGTCCTCCACACTACATGATGCTGATTCGTGAGTAGTAGGAGGCTTTAATTCAAGAATCCATCTCAGGAACCGCCAGAAGTAACAGTGTATTCTGATGGCTGGCACTAGATGTCCCTAAGGGAGACCGTGGTGGTCAGGCCACAACCCCACAAAAACTATCAAAATGTGCATGCAAGGCTTGTAGCCGAGATGCCTTATTCTTTTATGTTTTTTCTACTACTTCTTCCACTTCTACTACTTCGTGTACTTCTACCACTTCTACTGCCGCTGCTGCTATTATTGTTGCTACCAGAGAGAAAATATTATGACGACCACCACCGTCACCACCACCACAGCCACCATCACGACCACAGCTATTACTACTCCCCCTCCTCCGCCTAGTCCTACTGCTGCTACTACTACTACTCCTCCTCCTCCTACTACTACGACGACGACGACGAAGACGACAGCCAAGACGACGACTACGTCGTCACTACCTCTATCACTGCAATGGCGACGCTACCTCTACCGCTAGCACCGCGGCCACACAACCTCGATCACGGACGACGGCAGCGACGACCAAGACCACCACCAGGACCAGGACCAGGACCACAACCACGGCGACGATCTAAGAACGGCAAGCACGCTGAAAAAATAGTTTTGCTTGCGGGCTGTGGCTCACGGCTCTCTGTACACTGTATCCTCCCACCATCCTCTTCAACTCCATTAGAACTATTTGAAGGCCTCGCAGCACGATAGCCCAATCCTGAGTGAGCCTTCCTGTGAGCAGAAAGACCCCTAGAAAAGGAATCCCCTGGTTTTGAATGTATTTCAATCCCGCAGCTCCTACGTAATCGAAGACGTAGAGCCCCAGACCCACAACTGTAAACCCTAAGCCTTGAACCCTAGATCGAAACTTTGGGCAAGGCAGGGCAAGGCAAGGAAAGGTCCTGATCCTGACCAGATTTCACTCCATACTTGTTCGTTGCCGCGCAGTACCTAAGGTTTTGGCTTTAGGTCAAGGATTTGAGGCTTCCAGCGTCTAGGGTTTAGGGGCTTCAGATTGCTAGTTAGTTTGGGTCTGTGTTCTTCCAAGGGCATTGCATTCTGCAATGAGATCGGAAGGAAGATCAAGAGATCTCGTGGGAAGTGTTAGACGGATCAGACACTGAAACTACAAGGCTACAAGGACTTTTGAGCAAGTTCAAAAGCTTGAAAAGGCACTGCACATTTCATCCTCCAAGTCTTACATCCTTTGCTAATCAGGCACTGTACAGTACTCCGGCGTCGAATTGGCAGCCTATGTGTTGAATCAGCTTTGAAGGTTCATGGCGTCCGAGTCCACAGTCTGTGGATTTCATGCGAACATGCTTGTCAAAAGTAAGGCATCTTACAAAGGTCTACGCCAACTGCCATGGCTCTATGCGCACATATTGCAATGCAAGGGCTTCGGAGTGCGCATTTCGCTTCAAATGCTGCGCAGGGTGAGCATGAAGTCACAAGCATACAAAACCAACCAACCCACACTTCGCTCGCCACCACGCCACCAAATACACAAAAGTGAAGCTGCCTCGACCGAAATAACATGGAACCGCGAAACAGGGGCGATCCTACAAGGATCGGGGTTCCTTGTCAGAACACCTGGCGCATGGGTGCAGATCCATCACAAAAAGCTCGTTCGGAAGCCCATCTCATGTCGTCACAGAAGTAACACGGAAAGCCCAAGATGCAAGGGCTTTGGAGATAATTAATGATCCAGGCCTAGTAGTTCAAGCCTGGACAATCTGGCGCGGGAATATGAATAGCCAACTCCTTCAAGTTCAGCTGCCCAGCTTGAGTTGAAATGCCCAGCAGCTCACGTACTTAGGTTTTCCTCCATTCCGCGGATGTCAAGACCGTTTCCACAGCCAAGACAATTTGCGATTTGCAACACTGTCCAACTTTGAAATTTGCTGCCACCATCAGTTTCTCCCATCTGAAATCTTCGTAAATCTTGGTACGAAATGGAATCACAGGCCTAGATGGCCTAATTATGAAGAATCTCGACGTTCACTTCAGTCAAGTTCTGCCCTCTGTCTCTGACCCATTTGACCCATTCCGAGCCTATGCCTGTTGTGCTTTTGATGGACGGAGCACCCACGCCCCTTGCCGCGCCAGGCGAGCCCAAATGCTACAACTGGAACCCCGTCACAGAGATAGTAGCCACCGAAAACCTTCCCGTACACTACCAAAACCCTCAACCATTTTGGTCCAGGCGACCGCCGGCTGATGTAGAAGTTTTCTGGCACCCGCCGAAACCATGATGCAGGGAACTCCGAATAATCAATGTCCACCTTCGTGGGTTTGGGGTGGGGTGGGGGTAGCTATTGCGAAGCCACGATGGTGATGGTGGTGGTGGTGGTGATGGTGATGATGATGGTTTGGATGTTGACCGCGGGGGGCTGTGCACATGCAGGAAGCATGATGCTGATGGTTCCCTTGGTGGGAGTCATAGCTATGATGCACCGTCACTTTGTGGCAGGAGGGGGTGGAGGTGCAGCTTTCAAATGGTTGATGGTGAGGGTTTTACGGCTGACTGCAAACAGCAATGTACAATGAACGAAAAATGAGGGCTGACAGAAGGTCTTAGAGGATGACTTCCTCTCTACATTCGCTGCTTGCGCAATATTCCAGGCTATGCTTAAGCAACTCCTGAAGCACGATCCCGAAACCCTGACAATCGAAAGCCTCACCCCAAACTCCAAACTCTTCAAAGGTCCAGCCACGCGCATCATTTGGAAACCTGAAACATTTCAAACAATGTTCTCTGGTAACAGTACTGCATGCTTCAAGTATACCAACTTGGCTAGAACTAATTTTGACTTGAGAAATGTCGTAGTTATTCACAATCGCCATCCTTGTAACTATTCCTTGACAAAGCCCCCGGAAGCATTCAACATCTATCAAGGTTGCAAGGCCTTATTCTGATTGTTACCTGTAACATATATGCCAGGACTCCGCGGGGGCACCCAAACAAACAATAACTATCCAGATTCAGCCTATGCCATCCCACAAAACTATATCCCCATCATCTGGTGCCTTCTGGTACATCCCCATAAACCCTCCACAACACGTCCAACGGAAAACTTTGCCTCCCGTCCGAAGATGCCGGGCTTGCCACCACGAGGGTTGAAGTAGCAACCTCCAAAGATCCTCCAAATGCAGCTCGCCGGGTTAAGGATAGCACCTTTTGTTGCTTTTTCTTTTTTTTGGAATTCCAGTGCTCCGCTTTGGGCTGCAAGGTGTAAGGTTTCAGACTGGGGTTCAGGGTAGGGCCTGGGCGAAGTTGGAGGATGATGCCCCAAAAACCAATCTAGCTGCTACGCTAACGCCTGAACCCAAAATTCTTAGGCCCAAGACCTAAACCACTGAACACACAAAACCTCTGAAGCTCTAAAAGCTTTGAAGGCCATAATATCCCCAAGTCTCCTCGAGCCCAAAGCGCAAAGCCATTGACCCGCACCCAAACGCCTACGCCTGAAAGCCTCAATGCTGAACCCTGCGGACGAACGGCTCAACGTAACACAGATCCCATACGGGAGTTTTTACACAAGGGGCTACCTCAAAGGACCCACAGGAGTTGTGGGAATGATACCGGGACTAGAAGAGGGTCAGACTAGAGGGTTCAAAAGGGACCATTATGACAAGCTCCCAACCCTTAATCCAAAGCCCTAAACCACTCTTTCAAGATCCAGAGAGAGCGTCCCAGCTTCAATACACTGAGCCGGAGTCAGGTTGGGCTGGAAGTCGGGAAAGCCCGGGAAAACAAGCCTCCAATAAAGCCCGACAGTTTGGAGTTTAGGGTGGGGTTGAGGGATTAGAAGTGGGCTTACACAGGCCTGTCCGGGCGAGAACAAAGGGTAGACAAGGAAAGCGAGGGTTTGGGGGTTCGGGGTTCGGGGCTTTAGAACTTTGTTTTGGGTTTTTGTCGGACCTTTTCTCCAATTGTATAATCTAAGCAAGATGCTCTTAGAGCACAGCCCCGCCCAACTGCAAGGGGTTTAGAACTTTATGGCGAAGGATTTGGGACGATGTGCGCAGTGAAGTTCAGGATGCAGAGGTTCTTCACATCAAGTTGATGCTGCCTTGATCAGGTGGTAGGTTTGGGGCCCGGGCGCGTACATGTCCATGTTTGCATATAATATGATATAATATAATATCATATCATATAATAGAATAGAATAGAATGCTATATACATATACAATATGCAAACTGGTGTGTGTGTGTGTGTGCATCCCTCTCCCTCTGACTTTACTAATCTCTCCGGGCATCATGAACGCTTCCACTAGCTGCACAGTAAGACAGGCTGCGCAGATTCGGGGAGTAAGGCTGGGAAAGTTGCTTAGCCATGCATGCGTGCGGCTTGGGCATTGGAAACCCTCAACCAAAAACCTAAACCCTAGAACCTACGATATAGCTTTGGCTGAGTCGCTTTGAAGGATTTTTCTGGAACATGTGTGATTCAAGCACGAGTCCTGCACATACACATGTCTGAACGCGAAACGTAACAAGAAGATGTTCCAAAGCTTGTTTTCAAGCAGGTCCCGAGATCGTGCTGAGTTTTTTAAAGAGTCCCCTCCATCTTCCTGTCCCGTGGAGAGAGGAAGCCAGTAGTTAATGATCCCTTTGCCGAATAATAGACCCCCCGAAACAAGCAATCCTCCACCCAGGAAAATATGCCAAAATCCTGAAGATCTTGGAGAAAGGTTAAGACTATTTGTGAAAAGGGGCAACTTGGACCTGCTTATGGGGGAGTCGTCATGAGGAATGATGAAGCATTGTTGGATCTCCTTTATTTCCTCGTCTTTTTATTCCCCTTTGTCGGGCTTTATGAAGAGATTCATGTAAATCACTCTACCGGAAGTCGAATTGAAATTGAGCACCTCCTTTGTTCGATTTACAACTGATTTCAGTTCTTTTCCAATGACCTTAACGAGGTTTGAAATAGATTTCACCAATTCGGGTTTAAAATTTAACGGAAGGTTCATGAGATTTGAACTGGGCTCAAATAAGAAGTTAAACAGATTTTAATGGGAGCTCAATTGATGCAACTTACAATTTCAACTACTTATCGACGTTCGTTGGTTTTAATCCGATGTTTATAAAAGTTGGATTTTTTTCAGTCAATATCGTGGAGTTTCATGAGCTTCGACATGACTTAAGTAGGTTTTGAAGTGCCGTTGATGGATTTTCAATTGATTCCAGATAGACCTATACTTGATGTTGATTAGATCTGACTTGGTTCTAGTTAGGTTTTAGCTGGTTTTAATTCGATCTTAATTCATTTCCGTCAAATTTCAACAGAACTCCATGAAATTTCGAAGTGAGTGAGTGAGTGAGGAACGACCTGGAGTGCAGTCCGGCCTACGGAAACGTTCCCTCC